ATATAAACAGATGACAAACTTATTCTTTTTTTTTGTTGTCGCTTTAATAATTCAAAATCAAGTCATAAAATTCCACAAAAAGAAAAACCACACTAAAATAAAAAGAAGAGAATTGCACGTCAATTGATCTATTTCGTCTCAGACTGCAGTCAAAAAAGCCATCGCCAGGTGAAGTGCAAAGCCATTAAAAGCCGTAACAATTAACATGTCGCTGATACTGTCAATTCCTAATTTCGATCCCATCCAGACTGCTAAAAAAACCCTAATTGTTGATCTCTGTTACCATTCAAGTTACTTATTATATCATACAACTAAGCAAAATTAAGAAGAAAAAGAACAGCAACAACTGCTACAAAAAGATAACTTTAAACGAAGCATATACTTCACAAATATGATTTTTAATACTAAGAATAAACAGATAAGTTATATTTAGCGATCAGAAAAAAGGCAGTAATTTTTTAGATGAAAAACTAGTTTTTTTGCTTTCTACACAATTACTTGCTGATTTTGTTCAGTTACAGTTGGTCGACACAAAATGACTATTAATTAACAACTTTCAGGCTTGAGAAAAAAAGAGAAAAGTAACAAAGACAAAATGGAACTTACAGCTCCAGACTGTAGAAGCAACGAATGCGTAATTTGGCATGTACCTCCCAATCGCTGCAGAACGGGTACGGGCAGTTGTATCAACAGTACTTTCTGTTGGAGACCTTTTTCCTCCCGAAGCACCTTTCTCCTCATCCTCCTCACCACCTTCTTCCTCAGTCTCCGCAGCCTCAGTGTCGCTCTCCGTAATTTCTGGCTCCGTACTAGAAGGTGGTGGAGGAGGCACCGTACTAGATGGTGGAGGAGGCGTCGTACTAGGTGATGTAGGAGGCTTTGTCTCAGGTGGTGGTGGAGGAACCTTCTTAGTAGTAGGTTGTGGAGGAGGCTTAGGCTTCTTCTTAGATGATGCAGGCTTCTTACCAGGTGATTTAACCTTGGCAGCCCTCTGTTTCCTTTTTGACCATTCTTCTTCGCTGTGATAGTCTAATGTATCGTCTACTTTTTCAGCATCAAAAGAAGGTTCTTTCTTTCTCCAAGACAACTTTTCGGCGTTCTTTTCTGGTATAAATTTTGCATAGATGTAGGCCTGTCGAAAGAATATGTAAACAGTTGATATTAATAGCTACAGATATTATCTAATTTTTGCCTAATGAATAGTTTATATTACTCTACTCAATTTTTCTTTTCTGCTAATTCTCTCTTTCTTCTCGCACCCCTCTTAGATTCGGCCATTAATGTTTCATTTTATCCACTCAAATTCCGGGCAGAATAAAAAAAGAGTAAAACTCAATTTTACTATTGCCGCAGGACATTGTCTTTACATTTAAAGACATTCATATCCAAAGCAGATAAACGTAAACAAGTTTTTTTGAGTCCATAAAAAAAATTTTTTTTGAATAAAGCCATATTAACCACATTTACGTTGAATTCTTTACCTCATTTTTTACTCTTGTTTTAAAAAATATTGCATAAATTAACCGAAAAAAAAAACCAAAAATCAAAAAAAGCTGTAAACGCTAAGACAGTTTTTTCCAGTTACAATTTATAGAGATTTCTATACTTACCACAAGCAGTACAGAAGAGAAACAGTATAGAAGCACCTTCATCGTTCAAATGAGGAATCTGTAAAACAAAATATTTGGTTTTTTAGAATTTTTGAATAGAAAATAAAATACATAAAGTGACTGACGATAGTAAGGGAA